AGCCTTAATCCTTCTTGATGGCCTTCTCCCGACCCTCTCCAATTTCTCCACATCTTTCTTGAAATGCGGTGCCCAGAACTGGACACAATACTCCAGTTGAGGCCTAACCAGCGCAGAGTAGAGCGGAAGAATGACTTCTCGTGTGTTGCTCACAACACACCTGTTAATACCTCCCAGAATCATGTTTGCTTTTTTTTGCAACAGCATGACACTGTTGACTCATATTTAGCTTGTGGTCAACTATAACCTCTAGATCCCTTTCTGCTGTACTCCTTCCTAGACAGTCTCTTCCCATTCTGTATGTGTGAAACTGATTGTTCCTTCCTAAGTGGAGCACTTTGCATTTGTCTTTGTTAAACTTCATCCTGTTTACCTCAGACCATTTCTCCAATTTGTTCAGATCATTTTGAATTATGACCTTGTCCTCCAAGGCAGTTGCAATCCCTCCCAGTTTGGTATCATCCTGAAACTTAATAAGCGTACTTTCTATGCCAATATCTAAATCGTTAATGAAGATATTGAACAGAGCCGGTCCCAAAACAGACATTAGCTGGGCCCTTACTTCTTATTTGAAGTATGAGGAAATACTTCCTTGTCTCAGGTAACACACTGTGGTAACTTTGGCAAACGTTGAATCTGCAGAGGATAACTGGGTAAATCTTAGTCTGCTTGTCTGTGGAGAACTTATTAGACCTGATCTAGCCTATGACAATGAACTGTTTATGCGTCAAGTGAGTCTGCAGCGACAAACTGGTTTCACATGTGTTTTGCAGAACTTGAACTTGCAACCTCATATGTTGCATCATTAATTAATTGCAAACGTGAAACATATTCAAACTGACGAAAAAACTAAAAACGTACTTAGATGTCTCACCAGGGTCATTCACTTAAAACCTAAAAAAAAAAACCCCAATGAAATTCCCCACAACAAACTGAATTCAGTTTCAGTTAAGGTTGCTAGGTTTCTCTTATTTACAAACAGAAATTTGCATTCCTGATTCCTGCCTTATCTTATGGCTCTTTAGGATCATGGGCAGCCAAAATAAGACACAGAAGCTTCAGGGCTACTCTAGTCTGTGCTGGGAACCAGGAATAGCTCACTCCAGTTTTAGGACTAAGAAAATGTAAATGTGTCTTAGGGCCACTTTCCACCCCACCCTCCCAGTCTTGTACTGAGCCTAGCTTGGTCTCAGGCCTCATTTTCTTGGAAGTATAATTGTAACCAGAATTTTAAAAAAATCTATTTACATCAATGGCGGTAATTAATATGCACAATGTTAGCCCAGGTCGCTGAGCTGCAATGGCACAGGATTCAATCCTGCAATCGTTTTTCATGTGAGCACTCCATACCCACAAAAGTAATCCCAATGACTACAGGGAGACTACTCACGCAAGATCTGCAGGCTTAGACACTTAGTCCTTCATTCCCCAGAAAAGAATCTGTTCCAAAGGTGCATATTATTTCTTCTTGAATCCTGAGCATTGTGCTGCTCACCAATTTATGTCCTTTCAATGATTCAGTGACAGTCATTCTGTCACCTCGATATAGGCCTTGTGCCGTTCTCATAGACATACGAGCGGGGAGGGGGACGGGGGGGAAACTTTAAAATCTAAATGTTCAAATGTAAATGTTTTCTTTATATAGCTCAGAGTGGTGAAATGTGCCATTAGGAACACCTTTGTCAAATAAGAACATTGTCCTTAATGTAATAGATGTTTCTGCCCCCAGGCAGTTGGAGCAGTGACATTCTTCCTGAGGGAGGATAAACAACAGACTTCAAAGAAAGATTGGTGGTCTCACTGCATGTTTCATTGGCCATGGCTATTAAGCCAGGAAAATCCAACTCCTGGTTTGAAAGGATTAATATAAATAACTGAAGGGTAGTTTAACGGAAAACAAGTTCTTTGTGACCACGATTATAAGCAAACTGTCTCTTTATTGCAGACTCAGCCATATTTGCCTGTTGTGTGAAATTGCACAACTCAGTATGTTAACATAGCAGGGTGTACTGTACTGATAATGATTGTGGCCTTGATTCATGCCAGTTCTTAGCTCGCTTTCTTTCTTCTACGCATACGTTGAAACCTAGCCATGTGGAAGAAGTTCTTAATGCTGAATTTGCTACAGATTGTTCCCCAGTCATAAGTATAAAATATTTTATATGGAGAGATATAAATTGTGATTCAGTTACATCCATGTAAACCCACTGAATGAAGTTGATGTAGTAAGCTTGGTTCCAAGGTCTTATCTATTAGAAGAATTTTCCCAATGTGTTTTTTCCAAAGGAAAAAATCTCACCACTTTTTTTTTTTAATCTAGGAGAAAACCAGCCAAGGACTTCATTAGACTCCAAGGCCTACATGGTTCTCATTGCGCTTATAGTATTCGTATGTGCCATGTCATTGCTTATTGCTATAATATGCAGAAAGTAAGTATTTTTGATTAGACAATAACTAATTAGCATAGATTAAATTTGCACAAGGAATCATTAAATGAATTATTCTGTACTCAAAGAGCTTTTACTTTGGTATTAAACATGATTAATACAAATCAAGAATATTGATTAAATGATAAAACTTGTTCAGTGAATTTGAGGAAATTTAGGAGAATGCTCAATTTAATCTCAAATTCCAAAGCCATGTGTTGAAAGAGGGACTGAAACGGTCTCAGTGTGAGATGGACTGTCGGGAAGCTACCTTATCTACTTTGCTCAGTCCTCACTAAGATGGACCCTGCTGGCCATTTATCTCCACAGAAGAATGCCACCTTGAGACCCAACAAAAGCTGCTAAGAGAAACCATCTTTCATGGTTAAAGACAAAGGCCAGTATTTTCAAACTTGTGGTCTAAAACCAGGCACCTAAAATCCATATTTAGGCACCTGTACATTTGGCCTGATTTTCACCGACTTCACTGAGAGGCAAAGGTGATCAGCACCACCAGAAAACCACGCCAGTATTGACTCAGACCCTTAGCATTTAACTATTCTCTAGGGCTGGTTTGGAAAGTATTTTATAGCAGCTTCTTTTTAATATTAGGACCCAATGGATGCCCTTGTAGCCAACCTTCCAAAGACATTGTGTGAACAAAGCCAGAAATATTTTGGATGTCAGTGGCAGTATCCAGAAATCAAAGAAGAGAATCATAAATCAATGATGAAGTCAGTTCATCAATGATGATTCAAAGAATCAATAATGTAATTACAAACTCCTCTTCCTAAGAGATATATCAAGCAGCAACCATCAGGTTCACAATAAAAATGCTCCCAGTAATTTAAGCACTGTCCATGAATCCACTAACTGCCTGTTAATTTCTTTAATGGCTCCTAAATTAGTTGCTCACCTGATGAGTCCTCAGCTGATTTCCTTCCCACAAAGTTTCTTTTGTCAAACTAAAAGCACAGGTTGTGAAAAAAATCACTTTGGGTATGTCTATACAGCTGACTGTGGTAGCACTTTAATGTGGCTGTGTAGTCGCTGTTTCAGCGCTGGGAGAAAGCCCAGCGCTGTAAAAAAGCCACTTCTGTGAGGGGAATAGCTACCAGCCCTGGGAGCACAGCTCCAGTGCTGTAGCACTGTCTACACTGCCACTTTACAGCGCTGAAACGTGCACTGCTCAGGTGGGTGTTTTTTCATTGTGTATATTCCCAGTACAGAGTTAATTCGGGAGTTGGCCTTAATTTCCCTCCTATCAACACACAAAACCCTCCTATCCAGATTTCACAGGGACTTAAACCTGGGCTAGCTGGTATGGCTGGAGGTGTGGGTTAGAATTCCAGTTCCACTTTCACCCAGGCTGGTAATCCACCCACTCTGCAATATGGACACAGGCTCATTCATTTGAGTGCTGATAGTTCTCCATTACCTTCCCACAATTCCCCTTTTGTGCCCAGGACAGACATGTTCTCTCACAATTCACTGGGAAGGAATTAAAGAGTAGGTCATCTTACTTCAGCTCAACGAACATGGGATAGGCCTCTGAAGTCCTAGCCACACACATGCACGAGTGCAGCACCAGTGAGGTATGTCTCCACTGTGATAAAATCCTGATGGCGCCAAGTGTCAGAGCCCAGGTCAGTAGACTTGGCTCAGGCTGTGGAGCTAAAAATAGCATGTTTGAGCTTGGTTTGGAGTCTAGGTTCTGAGACCCCCACGAGGTGGGAGGGTTAAGCCTGAACCCCAGCATCTACACTGCAAATTTTATAGCCCTGCAGTCTAAGTCAACTGTCCCAGGCCAGCTGTGGCTGTGCAACAGGTCTTTTATTGCAATGTAGACATACCCAGTAACTAGGGTAGGGCTTTGCAGTGTGGCTGCTCACACTTGGGTTGGGACAACATAAGTGCTCAGACCAGGTGCCAATCTGTGCTGTGAAGATATTCCCTTTGTGGTGCAAGTAACTCACCTGCCAAGAGCTGAAATGATAGCAGCATGTACAGCAGTACTATCTCCAGTCAGCTCTGTCCCATTCCTGAGCTCGCTCCCCAGCCGCCTTCCCCTGAATGACTCTAGCTGAACCACACTTCAGGGGGTGCCAAGCACATTCCAAATCATTTTGTGATGCCGTGTTCAAAATAGGATGCGGAATGTTCCATCTTTTCTCCTTGGTAAGAACGAGGAAGTGCCTAGGTCCCGAGAAATCTCTTTCTTAGGCACCCTCTTTCTCCCCCATTCCCAATGATTCCTTGGCCACACACCTCAGGCATAAAGTTATAGCCCAGCGATTCTCAAATTGGGAGTCGGGACCCCTCAGGGGGTCACGAGGTCAAAACATGGCGGGTCGCGAGCTGTCAACTTCCACCCCAAGCCCCGCTTTGTCTCCAGCATTTATAATGGTGTTAAATATATTTAAAAGGGTGTTTAATTTCTTAGGGGGGGGGTCGCACTCAGAGGCTTGTGATGTGAAAGGGGTTGGCAGTAAAAAAGTTTGAGACCCACTGTTATAGCCTGTACAACAGTGAAAAGACTTCAGTGTGTTTTCAGCATTCCAAGTCTTCCCTTTTGTGACTTGTAATTTTCATCATCATGTCACTAAATAATCAGCTAAGCGCAAATATGTGCTTTAACATTTACCTTCTGAGGCGGTAGCCGTTTTAGCCAGGGAATGTCTACCAACTACAGTCCTGCATGCTAGTCATGGAAGACTTTGAAGGAGCTATCTGTGGGGTATAATTAAGTGCTCAAGGGGGAGAGACATAAATGGGAATAAATTAGTAGCAGAAATTTACTTTAGACAATTTGATCAGAAGGAATGTGGAAGAGTTCAGCCAACCAGATGAACTGAGACAGTGGTCATAAAATAAAAGGCTCAGTAGCTTAGTGGGGATAGTACAGGACTGCCTCTTCCTTAAGCAGCACATAACAGAGTGAAACAGAAACAGGCCGTTCTCATCTTGACCCAAACCAACACAGATGAAAGTGGTGCAGATGTAATGCTAGCTGAGCATCTAATCAATAGAGATTACCCTAATTGTTGCGCTGGTTTGAAACCAGTGTCATTTCACTTAAATCATACCGGCATGTGATGGAATGGACAATTAAGTCATGTATATTAAGGATATAGTTTTGTCACGGAGATCACAGGATCATGTCTGTCCTGGGCACAAAAGGGGAATTGTGGGAAGGTAGTGGAAGACTATCAGCACTCAAATGAGTGACCCTGTGTCCATATTGCAGAGTAGGTGATTACCAGCCTGGGTGAAAGTGCAACATTGAGCCTCAGCATCAAAGTTGGGTGTAAGGATCTTGATATGGTTCCATAGGGGGTTATGGGATTTTAATCTAATTTTTGGCAGGTTCTGCAGGTCATAGTGCTGTGGGATTCTCATATTTGCATTGACATGATTAAGAAAGTGAAATAGAGCTTTTTTCTGAGCAGACACTACAGATTTTCATTTTGGTGATCAAACACTGTAAACTGAGACTCTGATAAACTGAACCGAAGCTTTTGAGTTACTTCTCACTGTGTTTCTGTGGGGACTGACCTGCTTAGCCTTACTTTGTTTTATTTATGTTTATGTATAACTGTGAAGATAATGTATGTGGATTATAAAGTAGCCTCATTATAATGCAGAAATTGTTGTTCTTATGTTTCTTTAGCGTTATAAGATTTTATAAAGTTAGTAGTTGAGAATTAAGTTAATTCCTTTTACAATTGCTTTGGGGAGGTTGAGCCTGTGCAAGCCATGCTGAAAATCTTCAGCAACTGAATTCTGGGTCTCCATGTGCTTTCCTAGGGGAGATGGGTTTTTGAAAGCACTGGAGAAGGGAAGTGAAGTAAACTCTAGCCCACCCACCCATACAGGCCACATGGGCTTTTACAAAGCAGAAGCCCTGTCTGCTGACCCTCAATGGAGTCCAGCTACAAGGAACCTATTGTGCATGTCCCAAACTACACCCAATTTCAGGAACTTCTGGGTGTGGCGTGCTAATTTTGCATTTGCCAAGCACCAATGACCCAGTCATTCCTAAACCCCCACCTCTTCCCCATAGAGCTCTTAAGATATCTTTCTCTGTTAGGTACATGGGTTACAGCTGCACTATCCCAGGACCACCTTAGAGAACAGATTATGACACAGAGTCACATTCCCTCCCCCTTTCCCTGGGAAAAGAATAAGTTATTGCATTCTTTTTCACTGAGCAGCACTTCACTACTCGCTGTGTGCTTGGTCAGCTGTTCTGGCCAGTCATTAGGGTGAGTGGAGTCTCCTCCCTCATTGCTCTGGCCTCAGGCATTTACTAGAAGGTGAGTAGCCCCCCAGCTCGCCTCCCTGTGCAGGAGTCAATCTGAGCAGGAGTTTGGGCAGGCGAGTTGAGTGTATGTGACAATAGAGCCCATGGGAATCAAATCATTGTTAATCATGGTAGAGTGAAGAAAACAACTGATTTTTTCATAAACCTGCTTTACTGTTTCCACAGATATCACTTATGGAGCAGACTATTTCCACCAATTCCAACACCCCAAAACAGTATAAAAAATCTGTTTTTAAATAAGAGCTATCAGGTAAAAGAAATGTGTTACATTATTTGCACAGAAGAGACAATTAACAGTCTTTGGCTGCTGCCTCTTCCTAGACATATGCTAAGCCTGTATTTCTTTTGTATTGTCCTCCTGGAGAGCAACTAACATGGCTCTGATTAAGAACTCCCTTCCTGCTGTTTATAACTTCCCATGTAAATATTACTTGTGAGTCACATTTTCAGACTAGTGCATGCAGAAATGCGTGCACGTAATTTGTGTGTGCAATTAACGCAATAACTCAGACAATCCTAACTGCAAGTGCAAAAGACGAGCTAGAAACCGAATTAGCCATTTGCACCTGCAGTTAGTGAAGTTGCGTGTGCAATTATGGCAACTGTGGCCAGACTCTCAAACTGGTTTAAATGAGCAAAGATCTGTTGACTTTAGTGAAGACTTTAGATCTAGCCCTGTTTGTGCATTGTATATTTTTGTGAAATCCTAAAGGGTTGCCTTCTATATTACATAGCTCTACTAAAAATAAGCCACAAAGCCACAAAGTTCAAGGTATAAGGCCAAATCCTGGTAAAAGGACCAAACCTGGGTAGGAGACTTTGCTTGAAGAAATATCTGTTGCTAGACTAGGGCTGGCTACAGTTGTGTATTTGTGTGTGTGTGTGTGAGCAGTGGATGTGGCCTGCTACTACCTTCTAATGTGAGGCATGATACGTCCTGCCATGCCTGCAGCTTGCCCACTGGGGAGCCCAGGGGAAGCCATATACATTCCTTCAGGGTTTGAGAGAAATAGCCAGATTTTCAAGGGTGACCACATAAATGTGCACCCAAATCACACATTTGCTCAGGCAAACTGGCATGTAGGTGCATAGCGAGCTACCCATTGGAAGGCCAGAGTGCCAGCTTGCCTAGTCAGCTATAGGATTTGCACTTATGATTTAGAATTCACTTTTGGAAGCTGTGCCCACAAAGTGTTCCAAAGTGAGCCCAGATTGCTACAGATGCTGCCATAGCTTCGATGGGGAAAGGAGCTGTCTCCTAAACCGTGAAGTGGAGTTCGAGTCCAGAGGTATTTAATGGCAGATTTGTATAGGATAGTACAAGTGGTGTAACTAGGACTAATCTGATGAAATGAAGAAAGGGAAAACCAAGAAAGATTTATCTGGAAACATTTGCTGACAGCAAGATGTATGTGGTGGAGGAATGGGGGGAAGTGCTGGAAAAGTCCATCACAGAGGAAACTTGAAACCTGAATGGACAAAGCACTAAAGAATATATTCTAGGAAACATTCTAGGGTGGAAGGATGATCCAGTGGTTATAGTACTAGCTGGGAACCCTAGGTTCAATTGCCTGCTCTGCCACTGACTTCTTGGGCAATTCAAATGGAGCACTGCAATCGGAGGTATGAGTGTAGTATGTTACATGCCTGAGTAGCTTTAATCTAGCCAGCTTGGGTACGAATGGCAGTGAACCCATGGCAGCACGGACTGCAGCATGAGCTGTTGGTACCCAAGCTAGCTAGAGTAAAGCTAGTTCAGGTATGTCTACTCCAGCTGCAACCACACCCCTGATTGCAATGTACGTACCCTTAGTCTCTCTGTTTCAGTTCCCCGTCTGTAAAATAGGGATAATGGCCTCTCAAGGATGCTGTGAGAATAAGTATATTAAAGATTGTGAGCACTCAGATATTACAGTAATGGGGGATATGGAAATACCATAGATAGATAGCCATGTGTTGGCACGGACGCAAACACCATCTAAGTTCTGTCTTCTGACCTGATTTACTTTGTGAAAACTGATGAGAAATCCTTTGGACTTAATATTAAGCAGTTTTTATGCTTTCTTATGTTTGCTATTCCTGAAACAATATAATTGCCTTACAGATAAGATGTAACTTCTCCTTGGCTTTTCATGGAGAATTCTGTAGAGTAACTTGCTTCTAATTTCCCCCCGCCCTCTGAAAAGTTTTCCTTTGTTATTCCACAGTCTGATCAAGGAAACAGGCTTAAGAGATTATTGTATAAGCTTTCAGTTTGTTTTTAATTAAAGTAAAGTCAACTGTGGAAAATAACGTGATTGGGTATGACAAACTGATTTTAGAGTAAGAGAAATAGCAAATATTAACATAGCAGCTAAGCAATCTTTAGAAAAAGTGAACTGAGACAAAGAGCATTTTACATTACTGAGAGCAGCATTGGGTTTTACTTAGCAATCTTTTTATTTAAAGTAAATTTAATGCAGGTGAACGAAACCAGATTGATAGCCCTAGAGGCAGAAGGCCTGTGTTTAGCAATAGAATCAGGGCCGGCTCTAGGATTTTGCCGCCCAAAGCAAAAACAATTTTGGCCGCCCCCCCTTCTTTAATTACCCCACCCCCGGCCCCGCCTCAACTCCGCCCCTTCCCCAAATCCCCAGCCCTGCCTCCTCCCCCCAGGCTTGAGAGCCTGGGAGGGAGGGGGAGAAGCGGCGCCCGCACCGCGCGAAACGGCTGCTCGGGATCTCCCCCTCCCTCCCAGACTTGAGAGCCTGGGAGGGAGGGGGAGTAGCGGCGCGCGAATCAGCTGTTTCGCGTCCCGTGGCAGCAGCAGCGGAGGTGAGCTAGGGCGGCCGGGGCACATTTTTAGGGGCGGCTTTCTGGCGCCGGCCATGCCGCCCCTAAAAATGTGCCC